GTTTTTATGTTTTTCATCTGGTTCTCTCTCTTTATTCAATAAATACTGTCATAATTAGGATTTGATTGTTGAGTTTGGAGTCACAGCTGTTTGACTAGATTAAGGATCCTCTGCCCTCTGGGCAGGAAAAGAAACCTCGTCCTCCTGGTCAGACAGTATTGGAGAGTGAAGCACCTGGATGTATCTATCATAGATTTTAAATGACACAGCCCATGGTTCTTCAGCCAACAAATCTCTTTAGATAGAATGTGCTGATCCAGGCTACTGTAGTGCTAAGATGTGACCTAGTGTATCAGTAGTGTTCACAAGTTCTAAACTATGGCTAAGCATTCAGAATGCTGCACTCCATTTACGCAAGTGTATTTTTAAAGTAACACACAAGAACACAGGCATGCGATGTATTTTCAAAATGGGTGTTGCACTGTGCACACAGTGTCGCATGACTCATTCAGCACTTCACAGAAATGGGAAGTGTCTGGGCAGATTTACAAGTTCAGATGCATAAGCTATTTAAAAGGGAGACATGTTCATGTGTTTAAACATAAACCTTTCTTACTATTTCACTATACTTACGCACTCTTTATGGTTTTCAGTTATTTAGCTTGTATAAAGTTCCCTTCTATAGTACATTGAATGCAGATTATAAAACACTGTCATAAGAGAGTCTGTACATATAGTATGCTAACAGATCACTTCTAAGCAGCAAAGCTACAAGATGAGATAATGTGCAAACCTACTCACTACAAAACATCATTAAGTTTGCAGGAAATATAAAGTGTCCTGAAGCATGCAGAGTTCTCAAAACATAATTTTAGGAGTATTCACCACATTCTTTCAGCACACACCAGAATCTTTTAAATTATATGTGGAGCAACATCTACAGTGAATGTTCATTCCTCAAGTGTTCTAATTTAAGTTGTTTATAACATAATCTTTTACTTTTCTGTCTTAAATTTGGCAGGTTTGTTCCGAGTGCAGGAGTTAATATTTTTTTAAGCTTGTGCCAAATGGTTCAGCTACTCCCTACAACCAAGGGAGTGAACAAAATATACTTTCCTATTTTATATAAATACACACTTTCCAAAAAAATTCAGCCTGAGGCAGACACCTGGCATGGGAAATTTCAGCCCATACAATTAAAGTTTGGCAAAGTTATAAGTAACTGAAAACAGGGTCTTGTAATGGGAAAAGTCAGGCAATCTCAACGGTAGGTAATGCTGCCAGATCTGCGTATAACTTTTTGCACAACCTTAACTCCTCCCCTTTGGCTTACTCATTATTATTAATATAGTACTGCATCTTTTTGAAGGACACCTGTGTCATTCAGTTCACTCACTAGAAAGAGAATGAGGCAGCTTTGTGTAGTGAATTGATCTGGGGTCTAGTGCACCCCTTCTGCATTCAGGGACTGATTCAAAACTCATTAAAGGCAATGACAGTCTTCCCAGGACTTCAATAGGTTTTGGATCAGGTCCACACTGCAGACATTGTATAGTGTATGATGAATGAAGCAGGGTCCCCTGGAAGACAAATAAAGCTCATGTGGCACTAGACAGAGACCTTGGAGATTTGGAGTCTTTTACTGTCTCTCTCAGACTTTGTATGTGACCTTGAGCAAGCCACACTTAATCTCTCTGTACCACAGTCTCACATTTGTAAAATGAGGATAATACTGTTTGACTTTGCAGGGGTGTTGCAAGGATCAATTCATTAACCTCTGTGAGATGCTCACCTACTAATGTAATGAGCACCACAGAAAAGTCTACAAAGAAGGAAAAGCAATGCTTATGGGCAGCAGTGTTTGGATGATGTGCAGTATATGAAACAGGCGTGGAGCTATAAGGCGGATAAAAAGAAAAGCTGAACAGCTGCCTCATTCACAGAGTAATGTCCACCTCGTGTACTGAATGAGCTGAGGTCCTGTAAAAAAGTTTAGTGTGATTATATAATAAAATACTGTAATGCTTTATGCCAAAGGGCACATAATTGGTCGGGCAAACTTAACTTTGTCTTGTCCTGGCTTCTGAGTGCTTTACTTTGCAACTGTAACTCTTTTAATATAATTTAAATAGATTGATACTAATACCTGATAGCTCTATTGTGACTTGCTGAATTTTGTGAATTAGCAATATGGCATGCACGTTAAAAAGTGCTTGTCTAAATAAATAAACGACGGTAGTTTGGTTTTAATTATTTACGTTAACACTTCACAATATACTGTACTAGTAAATATGCTGTAATAAGGGAGTCAGTGTGACCTAGTGGATAGAGTACTGGACTGGCTCTGGAAATGTAGATTCTATTCCTGGCTCTGCCACTGGCCTCCTGGGTCGACCAGTCACTTCACTTCTCTGTGCCTAGGACCTGGTCTACACTACAGTGTTAGGTCAATACAAGCTGCCTGTCTAGTTTGCATATCAATTCTAGCTCAGCAGTCTCTCGTTGGAGTCTGTTTTTGAAGTTTTTCTGTTGTAATATAGCCAACGGCTACACTTACCTACATGCCTCCAGCTTCCATCCAAGACACACCACACGATCCATTGTCTACAGCCAAGCTCTAAGATATAACCGCATTTGCTCCAATCCCTCGGATAGAGACAAGCACCTACAAGATCTCTATCAAGCATTCTTAAAACTACAATACCCACCTGCTGAAGTGAAAAAACAGATTGACAGAGCCAGATGAGTACCCAGAAGTCACCTCCTACAAGACAGGCCCAACAAAGAAAATAACAGAACACCACTAGCTGTCACCTTCAGCCCCCAACTAAAACCACTCCAGCGCATCATCAGAGATCTACAACCTATCC